GATGGCGGTTTGCCGTTCCGACCGAGCTTGGGGCAGAGGCATGACCCAACACTAGCCAGTCGTTTAGAGAAACGCTTGCGAAACATGACTGGTGGGGGAGAAAGTCGCCGAACTGGGGGCTCGGCTGCGAGCTAGCCAACTCATGCAGCCTCAAAAAGGAAGTGAAGCGTTGCTACGTTTAGATAAAGGGCTGGTCAGAGATCGCTGCCGACAGATCCATTCATGCAACTCAGTCCCACATACATGTGTTGGCTGGCTCAGACCAGTTTCTTCCGCCAGTCCAGCAGGGCGTCCACATCGTCCTCGTCAGCGTCCTCATCCTGGTCTGCCCGTCTTGGCTGCATCACCGCCGGCCCTCTCTGTGGCGCCGCTGGTGCCACTGCCTGTCTGTCTTGCTGCTTGTCTGGCTGGCTGTCTTGTGCATGTGCAGGGTCGCCCCGCCGCTTGGCACGCAGCTGCTGCAGGCGCTCGAATCGACTCGCGTAGTCCCTGATACATGATCACGATATGATCATTGCTTGCATGCAATGCATCAACCAGCTGGTTGTGAGTAAAAATGTGTGGGTGTGTATGCTCACTTTTGAAGCGAGATTTGCTCTTCCAGATCGTCGGCCGCTTTCTCTTCGTCTGACCTGTGCTGCATCCACTCCTGCACACAGACACACACATGACATGAGCAGCTGATGCAGGCAGGCAGGCAGGCAGGCAGGAGTTCACCCTCTTTTGTTGCTCGATCTCCATCTGAGCCTCAAACCTCTTCAACTCGCTCTCCAGCTCTCGGTCTCTGCGCCATGAGGGCTTCTCAAGACCTGGTGCCACATGTGGACAGACAGACAGATGCATAGAAGGCTGCCTGCGTGGCTTGCTATACTCACCCACCTCTGGCTTTTGCGTCTTGTTCTGGGTCGTCGAAGAAGCCCGTCGGCAGAGGACTCTCGGCCTTGGCGGCCTTCTTGGCCTTGATGGCTAGCGACACGAACTCAGACGCTCCTGGTCCCGCCTTGGGCTCGCTCTCGTCCATTTGAGCATCTCCAGCCGACGTCTCGGGCTCATGCTCGCTGTGGAGAAGTGTGGCCTCTTGCTGGTATGCTGCACACAACCGACAAGAGTGGACATGTCATCATGACCATCCATCCAATTTGTGTGCATGTGCTAGTGTGCCTAGCGGCCCGCCCTGCTCACCGTCTCGATCGTCGAGCTCTTCGTCGGCCTCCCACTCATCCACACCGGCCTCATCGGAGGCAGCAGCAGCAGGGTCCTCCACCCTAGCCTTCTTGCCGCCCTCCCCCTGCTCATCCTTCTCTCCCTCCCCCCTCTCACGCTTCCTCCCCTGGCTGCTCCCGACCCCATCTGCTGCTCCTGATGGCTCCGCAGTCCCATCCTTGCCACTGCTCGCCTGGAGCGCACTCGCATCCGGCTCGATGATCTCGTATTCGTCTTCGTACCACACTCGCACATCGCCTGTGGAGGATGCATGAGCGGGGGCGGCGGGTGCTGGCTGTGGCCCATACATGGCCCCGGGAACAGCGGGAGGGGAAGCGGTAGGGGCTGGCTGGGAAGGAGCTGGTGGTGGTGGTGGGGAGGGGGCTGGAGGCGCTGCTGATGCCCGTTGTGCGAGGAAGGCCGGCGGGAGGGGAGGGGGAGGCATCGCCAACGCATCCTCATCAGCCGCCTCATCGCCATCTGATGCACACACGGTACAGATTCACAGACGGACAGAGGTTGTTAGGCTTGCAATCACGGATTACGTACTGCGGCCAACATGGCTCTTTCTGGTGTGCTGTGCTTACAATCCATCCCGAGAATCGACGATAGCCCCCCTGACACGCGGTTGGCCTGAAGCTTCGCCTCATCTTGCTTCGCCGTCGCCGCTGCTGGAGGTTGCTGTGGGACGACAGGACCGGCACGCGGGGCATCTGATACGCCAGCAGGCGTCTGCGGAGCTGGCGGTTTGTCCTTGGTGCGTGACTGGCGGACAGCCTGCCGCTGCGCCTTCTCGCGCTTCATCATTTCTCGCAGGCTCGACATGGCGCGGATGTGAGCAATTCGCAGCTTTCTGTGTCGCACGTGATGCTCAGGGTTCGGGTTTCGGGTTGCCGGGTTTCGCAAAACCTGCCAAAGCCACTTACTCCGCCACTCCCCCTTCTCGCGCTTCTCCTGGCCTCATGGTGTGCCCGCAGGCGTTTCTTCTTCCACTGACTCTGGCATCCATTTCGCCGTCATCATTCCTGCGCACATCCTTCCTGCGGCAGATCCGGCCGTCGTGGAGCCAGCTGAGGCCTTCGCGGGCCCACAGAGCCAAGATGCCCGACACTCAGACGGCAGAAGGCGCCACCCCGGCGGTGCACTCGCCCGAGCGGCCATGGATAGAGCACACGGTGGCCAAGGAGATCAACGCGACGCGTGAGGAGGCTTTTGATCTCTACTGCCAGCTCCCGATGCATCCGCGCTGGTCCGGGCTCTTCAGGTGACCAGAGAGAAAGATTCCTTCTTCGCAGGGCAGTGCAGTGGGTGGATCACCTGTCTGTGTTGTTTGGTATATATAGGCACGTTGAGTGGATAGATGAGTCAGCGAGGATATCGAAATGGACCCTGCGGAAGCTGGGCATCACGCTTTCCTTCGAGGCGCGCAACATCATCGAGCAGCGGCCACACATCATCGCGTGGGAGTCCATACCGGGCAGAGGGGCCGTCGCCAACCGGGGCAAGGTCGAGTTCCTGCCGTCCACGGCTAGCGATCCCTACCAGCCCTCCTGTCTCATGCGCATGAGCGTGGCTTATTCCATCCCGGGGTTCGTGTCGCGGATCTTCCGAACGGCATGGCTGTCGAGGTTTATCGAGGGCCAGCTGATGGGGGATGCCAACAGATTTGAGAGGGAGGTCATCAAGGAAAGGCAGGGCAAGGAAATGCTCGTGGCGGCGGGCGGCAATTAGTTCCCATGAGTTAGGAGCAGAGAGGTCTGTTTTCTGTGTTAGGTGTGTGAGGGCTGAGTGTTGGACGAGTGAGAGACCGCAAAGCGAATGCTCTGTAGGGATGTGACATTTTGTCGTGTGTGTAGGCCATGCGATGTCGTCAATGCGGACCTTTCACGATTGCATGACGAGGTGTGTTCATCGAATGACAACGAGATAAAGTCACCACACGCACGGATAAACATACACGAACGCAGTCCTCAGATGGGCTGATTTCATTCTCATCTCACCCCTGTCGAATCGCCAGTTTGGCCAGTGCCTTGTCCACCCCTCCCTTGCCCTTCCCTTTGTTCTTCTTGCCCTTGCCACCGCCACCACCACCGGCAGCACCAGCTACTGCTGCCGACGAAGGTGACGATGCACCCGCACCGCCCCACGCCGGCGTCTGACACACCACACACCCACACACTGAGACTCTTGTGTGACGTCTGCCGGTGGCTGCTGGCCTCACCGGCAGTGCGGGGAAACCGTTGGCCGAACTCGACGCGTTCCCCCTCGCGCGAGCCCCAGGCCGTCCCCACTTGCCAGAACTTCCGCTTGGTGCACTCGACTTTGCAGCCGAGGGTCGTCCGAGTGATGGGAAGTCCGCCCCGCCTCGGCTTGCCGGAGCGGCCTTCCCACGGCCTGCACGTGATGAGGGCGGCCAGCCAATGGGACCGCCTCGATCTGCTGGCAGGGAGGGGAAGTCTGTCCCACTCTGAGACAGGAAGACACAAACCACGTGTGTGGCGTGTGTCTGCTCGTGTGTAGGTATGGGTGTGTGAGAGGGTCAGTGTGGTACCATGTCGAAGTCCCCCTGTGGTGCATTGGCTGCTGCTGCCGATTGGTCGTGGCCGCCTGATGTGAAGGCACCGGACGACAGAGGGGCGTTGAAGGGCCTGAAGCAAGAGGACACAAGCATAATCAACTGGATGGTGTCTATACTGTGGGTGAGGTCTGATGAGTAAGTGTACCTGTCTGATGCTCTGATTTGAGCGACAGGGCCCATCGTCAGAGTGCCAGAATCATCTACATGAACACACACACACGACCCACCACATGCGGCTGCCTGCCAGTATGTATGCCAACTTGCCATCCATCCATTGCGTCTCCGCCTGTTCTCACACCTGGATCGCGGACGCCCTCGCCGGCTCGGTCGGACCGCCTTATGGTGAAGTTGACGGGGAGGTATCTGTCGGTGGAGCCGTGGACCTCGATCTGACGGACGGATGCACCACCACCACACACACACACACACACGTGTGTCGACTGTGTACGCTTGCGTGCAGGTATGTATGTGTGTGGCCCACCACCGACCATGTGAGCCTTGAGGTCGACAGGCGATGCGAAGACCACCCACTTGGCCTCGAGGCACTCACGGTGCTCACACAGGTAGTGCTCCTGCACAAACACACAGAAACCGGTCCGCACCATTGGTCGGTTGGTTGATGCAGGTGGACACATGCCTTTCTGAAGTGTCTCTCGAGGTCGTCGTATTGGCGGAAGAATGAGTATCTGAATGGTGAGTTATTGTCACGCCTGCAGATCTGGCAAGTGAAGTGCTCCTGCTGCAGATGGCCGTACAGCTCAGCGTCGCCGTAGAAGTTCGTTCGGCACCACTTACAGAAGGGGTGACCTACATGACACAAACAAACGGCACACATGACAGACACGTGACACACGACCACACATGTGCCTGGCTGCCTGGCTGCCTGTGTGTCTGTCGTCTGACCTTTGAATGAGGAGTCGCCATCGCCCTTTCGGATGTGTCTGTGGAGGCCGCTCTGGGTGAACAGCTGCTGCTGCTGCAGAAACACCTTCCTGTGCGCCAGGCAGATGTCGCACAAGTACCTGTCGTCTGCATCAAACAACACAACACAAAACAACACAACCAAACAGACCACGGAGCCATCCACACACACTCACACACTGCTGCCCTTGTGCATGGCAGGCTATAGCCGTGCGTACGGTACGTGCGTGTCTGAGGTGCTTCTTGAGGTCGTCGATGGAAGCGAACTCCTTCAAGCCGAAGTCATTCCGCGCCTCACCCCCTGAGCCGCCCTCGCCGGCTCTTCTCCGTCGATCAGCGAGACAGATGGGACAGAGCTTCTTGGACAGACCCTTGAGGAAGTGCAAGTGATCGACGTCGTCGTAGAAGCACTCTGAGTGAGTGAGGGCAGACCAGACGGATGGGTGGCCAGGCCAATCAATGGGGTGGTGTGCGCGTGTGAGTGGCATGGCATGTGTCTGCAGGCTGACTCATTGACTGACCGACCAGTGTCAGGGTCCCACTTGAGGTAGCCATTGGTGGCTGTGGTGCCAAATCTGACACGTACACGGCGCACACAGGAGAATGAACCAATCAATGAATGCATTCATTCGTGCTGCATGCCTTCATCTGCTCTGCACACGTATATACGTACATGCCCCAGTCCTGGTATCGCTTGTCTGTCTTGGTGACGATCAGATGCTCTGACTCCACCTGCACACACCTCACACAGAACAGACACACACCGACAAACAGCACACACTCAGGCAGGACACACTGACTGACGATATATTCCTAGCAAGCAATGCAATCAATGGTCAGTCAACCCTGCCTGCCTGCCTGCCTGGCAGTAGCAGCATCGCCTGTCGGCCAGCAGCGAACGGACAGTCAGAGCACACACGCTACAAACCATACGACTGCACACACACACACACACACACACGCACACACGCACACACGAAATCACCAAGTCAGGTATGTCTTGTGCTCTGTGTTCCCTCTATCTCTTACTGGTTGCAGGGCGGCACTGCCGCAAAGACCAAGGGCTCGAAACATACGATGCAGGGGGGGAAATCATCCTCATCCTCATCCCCTTGCTCCTCCTCTCCGTCGCTGCCGCTTTCCTCCTCCAGGTCGTCTTGCCTCGCGTCAAAGGCCACATCTGCAGCCGCTGCTGCATCTGCTGCAGCCGCTGGTGCATCTGATGATTCCCGAGCAGAAGAGGATGCTGCCGCCTCCTGCTGCTCTCTTGCCTTCTTCGGACGCCACATCATTTTGCGAGCTGTGGGAAAGCGACCCAGAGTTTTCCCAGCCTCTTGAAACCTGTAGCTTGGTTTGGCACGTACGTCCTCGGCTGTCTGAGATGGACGCACGGTGAATGCATCGTGGATGACGGTTCTTCCCGACAAGTGCGTGCTGATCAGCCTCCCCGGACTCGCCGTTGAAGCATAGAGGGCGGCGGAGGCGTGGTGAGGCCTCACTGACGGCAGATCTCCGAGTTTCAGCCTTGTCCGTCCCCCTCTCGCGTCACGTCAGCACCCGGCTCACGCCCAGCTGTCTGCAGTAGTGGACTGAATGAGTTGTCCGATGAATCAGCCGTATCAGGTGCGCCCGTCCCATGGCCACCGCGGCTCGATGGGCGACCCGGCCTCATCCGGGCCTGGCTTCGGCCACCACTCGCAGCCCACCACCCCCAACCACTACCAAATGGGCGGCAGAGCACAGCACGACACATACGTCAACGGCTCCTCCAGTGCGCCGCCCGCCAACACCAGCGGCCGTTTGATGTGTGGCGGCAGCGGCTTGCTGCCGCACGCTTTGCTCAAGCAGCACCAGCAGCACGACAGGGGCACCGGCTGGAAGTCGCCTGCGTCGAGCAACGACCGGCGCCCCAACATGATGCCGCCAGGGCACGGCAGTGGCGAGCTCAACACCGGCTCCCCGCAGTCACATCCCAACCACAGCGGCCAGCAGCAGCAGCAGTACCACCGCCACCAGTCGGGCTTCCCCGCCTCATCGCACCAGCAGCCATGGATGGAGCCACGCAGCAACGAGTCAGGCGGCAACGGGCAGACACAGGGCGGCGGCTACTTCACCCGTGAGCCACAGTACAACCGATTCGCCGACCAACAGCAGCAGCACCAAGAGCGCATGAGCAGCACGGCGCCACAGCAGACACAGGCGAACGGTGTGCGCAGCGGTGGGGGTGGTGGTGGGTGGTACGCGTCGCCGACGACGGTGCAGGAGTTCCTGGAGCGTTACCACATGCCCACGATCCGGGTGCTGGACGATCTGACGGAGCGCATGGGTGAGATGGAGCCGCTGGTCAAGCAGATCGGCCCGGTGCTCACGCGTCTCGAGGACGTCGAGACGATGCTCACCAGCATGGCGCAGAGCGTCAATACGCTGCAGGCGGACGTCAACGCGCTGCAGGCGGACATGAGACAGATGCGGGAGGACACGGAGGTGCGGGCGAGGGAGGAGGAAAGACAGATCGACAACCGGCTGGGGGACATGCACAGACGCCTGGCTGACATGCACAGACGCATCGAGGATGTTGTATCCACAAGCGGTGTGTAAGGCAGGGCAGGGAGGGAGGGATTAGATGGGCCGAGTGAATGTGGGGGACGTGATTGGTTCTTCTCTCAACTCTCTGTCTCTCTGTCTGTCTATCAGAGCGTCCCAGTCTGCTCGACCGCGTTTGTGTGCCCGAGGCCGCCCGGCCGTCCCAGCTCGTGCCATCCGGCCCTCCCCCGGCCGTCCACCAGCCCACCACACGCAAGCGACCCCTCATGAACCCCCAGTGCGCCCCACACCCACACACGCCCAACGCCCACAGCAATGCCAACGCTGCCAACGACATGGCCGTCGACTCGTTGCCGATGGGCGGCAACAACGGCGGCGGTGGCGGGTTTCCGGTGTTTGCGAATGGCCCGTTTGGTAGTCTGGGTGTCAGTTCTGGCGCTGGTGGTGGTGCTGGTGGGGGTGACTCGATGGGAGCTGGGATGGGGATGGGTGGCGGGTACGGCTATGGCGGCGGAGGTGGGGGCATGGAGGTGGACCATGGCATGCAAATGCAGATGCAGGTGCAGGACCAGCAACAGCACAACATGCAACAGGTACCTACCTACCTACACAACAAGTCTGGTGCGTGTCGTCATTCATTGAGAGGGAGGTAGCTTAAGCGTATTGTTGGTTGGCCGCTGCTGTTTGTTTTCTCAGGCCTCTGTGGGTCCACCTCCGTTTGTGCCGGGCCAGCTTCATCACCACCACCACCACCACCAGCAGCAGCCCAACGGCCTGGCGGGCACATCGCCCCCTCCTCAAATGCCCAATGGTGAGCCAGCCACATGGTTCTTAGGCGGCACGAGATAGACACACATCCGTGGACTGGACGGTACGGTGTGTGGTGGTGTTGTCTTGTTGTTGTTGCTGATGATATATATGCCTGCAGGCAGTAGTCCCCATCCCCCCACCCTGACAGGTCTGGGCTCGCCTGACCACGACATGGAACAGAGAGACGGCAACACAGGCGGCCACAGCATGCACCCAAACCACCCACAGCACCAGCACCAGCATTCCCGTCCCCCTGCACACACCGGCGCACAAGGGCACCACAACACACACGCCAGGCCGGCGGGGGCCAACGGTGCGTCGGTGGCGTCATCGGCCGAGCCGGGGCCGCTGCCCCTGGTGCGCATCAAGAGGGAGACCGACAGGGGCACTCCCACCATAGTCGCCGACGCACCCGCGCCGCCCTCAGCCAAGAACAACTGCAACAGCAGCAATGTGCCCGACGTGCCCATCAAGCAGGAGCAGGAGGAGATGGACGGGGAGGGGCAGGGCAGCCAGCAGCATGATGCTGAGACGCCCGCGTCAGGGGTAGCGGGGCCGTGTGTTGGTGGTGGTGGGGATGGTGACGGTGAGGGTCAGGAGGACTCGTCGGGGTCGTGGCTGTTCTCCGTCGAGTCGGAGACGCCTCAGCACCAGGTGTGTCAGATCCTGGGGTTCGCCCCCGATCGGCTGCAGACCATCGACACCGCAATGTGGATGAGCGAGAACGAGGTCTGGCGCACCGTCCTGCAGGTCTTCGCGCCAGGTGCGTCGGTGGGTGTGGTTTGGGGGAGGGAGGGAATGTCCATCGCCTGTGAGTGGTACATCTTTATGTGTGTGTGCGCCGATGGTCAGATTTGTTGGGGGCGTTTGACGCCTGCAACTATCAGGATACGGATTCTAGTGTTAGGACGGACCTCTCAACGACGGCCAGTGAGGAAGGAATCCCACACTCGGGCGCATGGCCTTTCCGCCCATCTGTCTGTCTGTCTGTCTGTCTCTTTATCGGTGTGCGCAGTTGACCGTCTGGTTTGTCGCGAGACGTTGCTGCTGCTGGACCATGTTCCTGGCAAGAACGAGGCCGGCGGAGCGGGGACCGTCAAACTAGTCGGTAAGCTCATGTCCATCCATTGCAAACACGCACACTGTCCATTCATATCATATGCATGCCTGGGCCCGTCCGTCCCTCTGTGTCTGTCGCTGACGAACCGTCAGCGATACTGTTAGGGGCGATACTGGAGCGCTGGCAGATCCAGAATGACGCCGACCCGAGCGTCCTCGCCCGCATCGCTATCGTACTCAGAGGTGCGTACTCTCACCCTCCCAACAACACCCCGACATGGTCATGGATGGTGATTGATTTGTGTGCATGTGTGTGTTTGTAAGGTCGCGGGATCGGTCGCAAGATCCGCGCGGGAGCTTTCAAGGTGCGCATCCAGCCGCTGGTGACCAGTGCGACCACCACGGCCCAGCCGCCCGCCGCCCAGCCATTCGAGGGCGACGCCGCTAGCCACACATCCTGACTGACTGACGGATACGGATGGCTGGATGGCTAGATGGCTAGCTAGACGGCTAGATAGGTAGACTGATTGAGTGATAGGTAGACAGACAGACAGACAGACAGACCGACAGACAGGTGCATGAATGGATGGGTGAATGCCTAGAGACAAGCATGTCGACGCCATGCGTTCGCATATCATACAAGTAGTAGTGTGGGTTTTGGTTGGTACAAGTCGGAGGGAGGGAGGGAGGGAGGGAGGGATGGTGGGTGGCGGGCGTTGGGGCGTGTCATAAGCTGCCTAGCTATCCCGATGGATGGATGGATGGATCGATGAATGGATTGCCTGCTGGATGGATGAAGGGATGGATGGATTGATGTGGTGTGCCATCATGGTGTGGTGCGGTGCGGCGAGAAGATAGATAGAGCAGAGAGGTATCTTAAGATCGATCGGTTCGGTGGCATGGCAGGATGCCTGCCTTCAGACGCCGGCGTGAGAGCTGGCCCGGCCCGTGAGGAGGGCAGTGACTGGCTGGCTGTTGGTTAGTAGCTGTGGACAGACAGACAGATGTAGCTATTACTGGCAGAGGTGCCGACGCCCCTGCTGGCAGGCAGTCGTGCAGTCGTGCAGGCAGGCAGGCAAGACAGGCAGGCGAATGACCGCACGCCTTGTGCAGATCAGATCGGTCCCGATGTTCCTTGTGCGCGCCGAATGAGTGTATGGTTGGTTGGTGCGGTTCCTTATTCGCTTGCGTGAGCGATGGCGGACGTTTATTCGGATGGATGGGGCAACAACCATCCATCCACTGGGAGCGTCTGACATCGGCATGCATGTTAGACGAAGGGCACGTCGCGCAATGAATGAACATGCGCACATCGGTAGTGACTGGCTGTAGTGAGTGAGTGAGTTTCAATGAATCACCCTGCCCGCCTGCCTGCCTGCCTGCCTGCCTGTGGATACCTCGCCGATCGATCGACCTTCGACCTCTGCGGGTGCGTCTGCGTACACGTCCGTTTGTTTGTTTGTTTGTGGGTGCGACGGACGACAATGCACTCACTGCACACGATACGACACATACAAGTCACCATTACGTCCGTCCGTCCCTCCCTGATGTCTCCACTGACCAGCGTCGACATGTACACCCGGAGGGACATACGAGAACGCAACCATCGGGGCGCACACCAGCCCGCCCACACTACAGACACACACGCATAAGGCGGGCGCTGACAAATGACTATCTATCTGCCCACTGGATAGACGGATGGATGAATGGATGGTAAGGGTCTACAGGCCCACGTGTGTATCCAGAAACATCTATCGTTCATTCATTTCCCCCTCCCTGGCCTGCCCTGCCCTGCCCCCCACCACCCTGCCAGCCAGCCAGCCCCTGCAGGATGGTGTCCCTCGTGAAGCGATACCGCACGTCATCGAACGTCGGGGGCTTGCACACGTCCACGTGACTCGCACCCGGGATCTGCACTCACATGCAATAGAGAGAGAGACTGGGTTGGGTGCGTGTGTGTGTTCTGCCGGTCAGCAGACGTACTCACGGTACCTACCTGGTAGAATGGTCCGTATCCCGGGTGTGCTGTGGCTGGCGGCACAATCAACATCTTGGTCTGCAGGTACGGCACGTCAGTCGGCAGACTCTCACCAAACGACAACACTGATATGTCTATAGACAACACATGAATGACATGGATGGATGGATGGCATCCAGCCAGCCAGCCAGCCAGCCATACAAACCACAAACAAACAAACAACCGCACACACACACGTGCATCGCATATCCCATCCCTACCTGTCTCCATCTCCCTCTCCCGCCCCCCCACTGACCATGCTGTTCGCAGCACTTTCTGAACTCCTCGTTGAGTCTCTGGTGGAAGGGCGTCTTCCTCATTTCTCGTGCATACCTCGACACAGCGGGGTAGAGAAACATCAGGTTGCCCGCCAGAGGGCTCCCCACATGCGGCACGCCGAAGAAGATCACCGCACGGGTCCGCCGCAACAAGGCGGGGTCGTCCAGCAGCAGCATCTTCACCAGCGCCCCCCCCATCGAGTGCGCCACAAACACCACCGGACGCGCATCGTCTTCCGTCTCAGTCTGCCCGCCCACACGCGACAGACGCAACCGCTCCGCCACGTAGGCGCTGAGGTCCGCGAGGGTCATGAAGGTGAACTCCTTGCGGGCAGAGACGCCGGGGGATTCGTCGCCCTCAGGTTCGCGCAGGGAGACGAACTTGCGCCGCTCATGGAAGATGCCCATAGCCTGGGCGTCGAAGGCGATGATTCTGGCGGAGGGGAAGTCGTGGGCCAGCATGATCCGCGGCCATAACACCAGCCTGCATCAATACATGCGTACAGCCAGGGAACCAAACCGTCCATCCGTGACATTCTCGGCCGGTGGCTGGCTTCGGACGGCCTCTCTGTCTTACCAGTCGCCCAGAGGCGGTGATGGTAGGGCCTGTGGTGGGCCTGCCGGGGATACCGACAGCTGCGCCACGCCCTTGTCGTTGACGCTAACCTCCGCCTCTGCCTGCGGCTGGTACTCAGGCTTGGACTCGAATATCGCAGCACTCTCCGCTGGCAGCAAAGCGTCCAGCCGCACTCGCGCTCGGATACCCTGCAGGATGTCCCGAAACGGAGGGGGCCCAGCAGCAGGGGACTTTGCCTCCTCACCAGAAGGCTTCTCTGCCTCTTCCCTTGGTCCCTGTGGCTGCCCCGCCTCTGTTTCCGGCCCCTCGGCCGTCGGTGCTGTTGCTGTGGTGCCTTCGTCCGCTGTCGGCGCGACGCTCTGCCTATTGGCGGCTGACCGCCTCCCCAGCCACCGACCAAACAGCTTCGTCTGGGCATCTTTCGGGGCCGGCGAGTAGGGCTCCAGCGCGTTGATCGGCACGCCCCCTCCCGCCTTCCAAGTCTTGAGCGCTCCGCCGCGCAGTCCGTGCACAAACACGACGTCAAAGGGCGGGTGCTGCGGCTGTGTGTGTGTTGTGGGTGTGGCGTTGGGCGGGGGCGTGGCAGGCCGCCACTTGGCACTGAATGGATCGAGGTCGGCGGTGAGTCCGGGGACTGAGAGGGGGAAAATGCCGTCGGGGTAGACGATGGAGGGGTCTGTGAAGGGGCTGGACGCGGGTGCAGCAGCCACAGACGGTCGATCCAGCCGTTGGAGGTTGCAGAGCCCCCTGACAGCCTCGAAGTAGGCCGGTGACGCGCCGGTGATGGCGGTCCACGTGCCCTCGCGGCCGACACCCCCAGCCGCAGCCCCGGGCGCCTCGTCCTTCTTGTCCTCTTGGCCTACTGTCTCGTTTGTGCCTGTTTCCTCCTGCATGATTTCCTCCATGACGACGGGGCTGAGGTGGACGCGGATCTGGTGTGCGGCGTGCTGCTCCACGTGGTAGGCGATGAAGTTGGTCAGGTCCACCAGCAGCTCACGCCACTCGTCACCCAGATACCGCAGCTCCTCACCATTGCACACTACGGCACGGCAACAAACACAAGACACATATATGAGGGAGGACTGGATTCTCTTCGGTCGGCATCCCTCTCTCCCCCCTACTTGCGGTGGCGTTTGCGACGGTCCTGACGATTTCCCTGAGGTTCGTCCACCGCCTGGCCTGCCGGGCGATCTCATCCGGGTGCAGTAAAGACAGCGGCCCGCCTTTGCTAGTGGTTTTGTCACGGCGGGCCTCTCCCCTGCTGGTGCCCCCTCCCCGCTCTCTAAGCCGCTCACGCAGCCGCTGCAGCACCGCAGGCTGGAAAGGATTCCATGGCATGCGCCACCAACGCCTCTCGGCCGCCTCGGTGGGGGTCTCTGTCAATGGCTGCTGGGTGCTGCTGGGCGGGGCAGCGTCGTTGTTGCTTTGGGGCTCCTTGGATGCCTCGGCGAGCACAAGCGATGATGAGCCGAAGGGGCGAAGCGAGAGACGACGAGAAGCCTTGGTGCTGTCGTCTGCGGCTGGGGGTGGTAGGGCTGGTGGTTGGGTGTCGTCCTGGCTGCTGGTGGGGGTGGTTTTGCCCTCGACTTGCTCGAATAGGTCTGTGAGGTAGGCGTCGATGTCGCGCATGAGGCCCTCCGTGAGCATGCGGAGGAAGGCGGGCCCCTCCAGTTGCAGCAAAGTGTCCACGGGGAAATCCATGAAGGACGACAAATACGACAGACTGCACACATAACATGCATCCGGATAGGATACAAATGTGATGCGCATGCGATGGATGCGGTCACTCGTCTCTCTCCCCTCCCACCTTTTGAGCAGTTCTCCCCGCCTGATGCGGCTCTGTTTGTCGTTGGGCGCCCTCTGCTCCGCTGTCTTGTCGCTCGAGGACGGGCCGGCACTGGCCGACTGACCAAAGGTGTTGAGCAGGAGACCCTCGTCGTCGATCGTCCACATGTCCGCCGACTCCGCCGCCACCTCATCGATGTGAGCCAGGTGCAGCCGGGTCTGCAGGGCCACGATCAGCCGACGCAGCCACACGTTTATCACAACCTGCTCGCTGCCATCTGCAGTGCACACGGCGCATGGATGGAAGGTCAGACAGATACGTGGCATCCCTCTGTGTCTTTGCGGCTGCAATGCTATCTCACCCAGTTGGCTGCAGAGCAGCCTCAGCGATGTCCTGGCACACTGCGACCGCCTCACGGCAACCACCCTCTCTTCAAGATCACCGCCAAGCCCCTTGTGGGCCACTGGGGCCCAGTCGAGAAGCAGCCCCGTACAGTACGACAGCCACGGCTCGCGCAGGAACTCTCCTGGCACCTCGCTCCGCAACGCCGGCGCCGTGCGGAAGAGTGCTGCCAGGAAGTCGGATGCCGCGATGGCCACTGCACTTCTCAGATTCGCATGTGGTCGCGACGGACGGCCGAACAGGTGCAGCGTGAAGTCGTCTTCGTTGAGAAGCTCCACCGGCAGGCGTGTCGGCTCGGCTCCCATGGCGCCGGCAGGGACACCGCCATTAGGCCGCTGCCATCGCTTTCTCACCGCATCGACGATCGCCCGAGGCGTCAGCGGCGCGCCAGGTGGGCCAACGGGTAAGGGTGGGGCAGATGCTGCACCAGCAGAAGCACCAGGAGGGGGCTGCTGCATCCGTGCGGCTCTTCCGGGCAGCAGCTGCAGCTCGGCCGGCCCCCTCTTGAAGGTGACGTGTGAGGGGACCCAGCCATGAGCGGCCAGAACCTGTGCGAAGGGCTGCGGGTGGATGCCGAGAGCGCTGGATGTTTCGGTGCTGACGCCAGTACGGTGCGCCTGGACCCGCCCCAGCAGCTGCCTCTGATGCTGCTGCAGTGTCGACAGCAGCCGGGCGCCCTGCTGCCTCAAATCCTCGAGACGCGCTGCAGCAACCTTCTGCAGACGAGGCGGAGAGGGGTGCTGCCCGTCGCCTCGGTCGAAGCGAACAGCGTCGCGGGGAACGTCGTCACGTTGTGAGTCCCCTGATGACGTCCGGGGTCCGTCATTATCAGTGGATAATCCGCCTTGTTGTGCGCTGGTGAAGAGGAGGTACATGAGCTGCTCGCTGAAGTCAAACTCATGACGGTACTCCGGCTGCTGCTGCTGCTGCTGCAGCAGGTATCGTGAGGGCTGGTACTGGGCCTCTCGTGTGGCCTCGAGGATGTCGGCTAGGACAGCCAGCGTCTGCACGGGGTGGTCCCAGAGGTCCTGCCCCACCTCCTCACACAAGGCCCCCATGCACTCGCGCCGCTCGGACGCATCCAGCGGCCTGTAGTCCTCGGTGAGCAGCCCCGCGGCGATGCCGGCCTGCAGCGCCCTCAGCCACGCCGACCTCACTGCCCACAGCCCGCTCATGGTGTCTTCCCTCCGCTCCTCGACCACCTTGGCCCACAGGTGCTGCACCTCAGAGGAAGAGGAGGGCCGCTTCCGAAAGACCTCCCCAGCCAACATCAGGCCCATGAAGCGCTTCGTCTGCATCCAAGTGGACGGACGGATGGCAGGGAAGAGGGCAGTGGGGGTCTGTGTCGTGGCTGCGTGTGCGCATCTATCGACGCATGGGTGCATTGCATTGCATACGTGCGTGAGGGCGTCACACGGGGGGATGCGTAGCCACTCAACGAGGGTCGACTCAAGCGAGGTGCCGGCAGACCCAGCCTGCGAAACAGAAACAGACACACAAGGATACAGACAGATACTGATCTCTGATCTGTTGATGGATAAGCTTGGTTACGAGTAGGTTGTGTGCCCAGTCCGAGAGGCAGGGCTGCATGGCGGACCGCCTTGGGCGCATGCTGTCCGTGTCGGCAGTGCCGCCCTCCTCTTCCTCCAGCCCCTCGGGATACCCCGCCACATCCACTGCTGACGACAGAGGCAGCCGAGTCGGCCTTACTAGGGACTCCAGAAACCACCTGCACGACAGACAGACGATTGATTCTCATGCAGTGCACTGAAGGCACGCCATGATTGATGTGATGTGCCGGACGGACCTCTGTTCCTCCATGGTGAGGGAGAGTGGTGTGGAAGAGTGTGTGGCATCGAGGTCGTCCAAGATGGCCGCCAACTGAGATATGCCGCGGCACTCGGCTGCACACAACACACAGCACAGCGCACACACATCCATGCGCAACTCTCAGATCTGCAGTCAAGCTGTGTTACCAAGCGCAGCGGGCCCGTTCGCTGAGTCCGTCAGCAGCAGACGCAGCACATTCAGCGCGTGCTAACCCGAATCATCCCGCCCGCCACACAAACGTCCAACACAACCAACCGGCAAATCTGGATGTGAGTGTGAGTGTTTGCGTGTTCCCACCCCTCTGGTCCTCGAGGGCGCAGATCTGTCGGCAGCGATGCCCCACAGCCTCCTCGCCACGCCCTCGCTAAGCTCGGCGGCGCGATCCAGATCTGCGTCACCTTGCGTCACTGCCGCTTCCAGCGCCTGAAGCCATTCGTCCACGGAGCTGAAGACAGACAGACAGACACACGGACCGAAACACATAAGCAATGCAATGAGCAGACGATCTGTTTGTTTCCCACCTGGTGCTGCGCCAGATGTCGGCAAAGAAGCGATAGATGGGACCCAACACTTCCGCACTCCCTGCACACAGACAGACAGACAGCCACACGACACGAGCCATGCAGGTCGGCTCCATTCACTGTGAATCAATCTGATTGATTCTCCACACTCATTGATTCATCCATTCGCCTCTCGGGTGCGGTGCTGCACCGCACCTGCACGGTCTTCACTGCGGTGCCCCTGACACAAGCATACCCTCGACGGCCGCCTGCACGACTCACTCGCGACAACAGCAGAGGCAATCACCGCTGCCCCGCGGACGACACAAATGTTAGGAAAAGAGGTACCCAGCCGCCTCATACTCAAGCGAAGACGAGAAAGAGAGCACCGGAGAGAGGTCCGACCGTTTCTCAGGGTTTGGGGTTCAGAGGTTTTGGGGGCTCCAGCTAAGCTTGCACGTGTGCCTGCCTTTCTGGGCCGACATGGCGTTCCTGCAGAAGACCGCCGAGCTCGAGTCGGACGAGAAGGACACGCTTGTCAAGAAATTCGGTGATGAAGAGCCACCCCACACACAGTGTGCACAGATGGGAAGACACCTGCAGATTGAGTGAGTGGGGCTTTCTTTGTGTGGGGTGTGTGTTTGTTTGTGCACTGCAGTTGACTTCACGAGCTGGGTGTGCAAGAGCGAGAAGGACTACCTCTCCAGGGCCCACGATGCCTACAACTACCTCTACGCACTCCAGGCGGCCCTCGAGAACAAGCAGTCCGAGGACGAGCTCACGTGGGATGACTTCATTGTGGTCGTCAAGGCCGCGGAGAAGGCCTTCATGCTAGACTACCTCAAGAGTGAGCATACACACAACAAACCGCACTGCAATGCGGGGCCCAACGGAGTGCGCGTATACCATTGCAAACGATGCAGGTGACACGTACACGTATGTGGGGTACTGTGTGGGCAAGTCTTTCCCCTCGGCCGGTGCCCCCGAGGAGGCGGCATGGAAGGCCTGCTGCAATGCCTGCATCGCCATATGCGACAAAGTGGCGGCCAGACTTCAGAAAGATCCGGTGAGCTGTGCACTGCACGGACATACATGTGTCTCATTCATTCCATGAACGGATCGATGTGTCTCTCTCATGTGGTGTGTGTACGGGTGTCTCTCTGGTGTGCAGAAGTTGGACACACCCAAAGGCAGGGAGGATGTGTTGGACCCATATGTCGAAGCCTGGAAGAATGGTGTGTTGCTGGTCTTCACCCAGGCTAGCAGCGAACAGCCAATGCCGGTAGGTACCCCGCGTGTGTTTGGGAGGGTGCGGGCCGGCCGTGTCTATGATGGATGTTCGTGTGTCTCCGTCGCTGTATGTCTGTGTTGCTGTGTGTGTAGGATCTCTTCTTTGAGCCCGCGGGAGTCAAACCGATGTTTGACCTTTACACGCACCCTTACGGCGCTGCAATGAAAGGTGCCCCCCCCCACACACACACACACACAAACACATCTCTCGTCCTTCATCCCTTCCTTGCCACATCACGTCCACACACACAAACATGTGCCCAGATTTGCCCGAGTACGTCATCAACATGTACTCCACGGCCCTCTACTCCCGCACTGAGGGCTTCGAGTGCGTGGCCGACGGGGTGATGGAGGGCTGCGGCCACCTGGCCGACCGGCTCTCCAAGGGCACCTCGTACGACATGGGTGCCGACGGGGAGATCCTTTACGGCCTGGTGTCGCTCCTCAGCACCATGGACATGACCCCGTCTGTGCCCAAGGAGAAGATACAGAACCCCGGGCTGCTGTGTCGGTTCCTCAAGATATCGTCGATGAAGCTGACGCCCAAACAGAAGAAGCAGTTCCCGTATCTGCAGGGCAACCTCGACAGCATCGGCCAGTCGGCAGCTGGCATGTTTGGAAACCTGCAGGTGACTGACCAGGGCGGGTCACCTCACCCAGGACGATGGGTGTGATGTCTGTGTGTTTGTGTGTGTGTGCGTGTGCAGCCGCCACAGGAGGGCGCCCAGGAGAGTGGGGCCACATCTGGTGTTGACGTTGATGATCTGTTGGACGTCATGGAGTCGTCGGCGAGCATCCCGCCCAGCGCCATCTATGGCCTTGTGAGCGCACTGCAGGCATGCTCCATCACCGCAAAGGTCCGCACAGCGCCCTTAGTTAGTTGTGTAGCTGGCTGGACACACGCCACACCATGCTGCAAGCAACAAGATGTGTTCGTGATTTGCGACCGCACAGGGCAAGGCGTCTCTGTTCACGACTCGCGGGATGGACTTGACGTTTGCCGCTGTCAAGAAGGACCCCATGCAGTGTATGCCAAGAGGAAAAGACCATAACGCCTGACGATCCGATCCTCGTATGTGTCACTCCTTCCTGTGCCGTGTGTGTGGTTTGTGTTCGTGTGTGTGTCCGACAGCATCCCTCGGAAACCTTTTCAAGATCCTAAGCCACTGTGCTGAGGACAAACCCGACGTGGCCCTGCAGTACATCGATCAGGCAGTCGAGCTGGTCAAGAAGGCATCCACCTCCACATACGGTGGGTGGGTGAGACACGCAGCCACACCCCACACCCCGCACACCCAAGCATTTGTTTGTATACGGGCGGCTGCACTGCAGGCCTGGCGTGGTTCTCGGTGATTGGAGAGTCGTTTGCCGGCATGGCCCGCATCGCGCCCGACAAGATCACGCCGCACTGGAACACGTTCAAGGGGTTCCCTGCCAAGACGGGCAGCGACATGCGCGCGGGAGTGGACATGGGTCTGATGGCCATTTGCAAGGGGCTGGTGCAGGGCCTGGCGGCGCAGGGCAACCTGGGCGAGGCACTCAACTACTCTAAGGCCATCCTCGACACCATCAAGAACGTACGTACGCAATCGAATGGGTTGGTTGAGCCAGGCTGACATATATACATCAGTGTCTGTCTGTGCTGTGTGTGGGTGTCTGTCTGTCTGAAGTCGCCAAGCAAGGATGTGATTCTGTCGACCTTCATTATTGAGAGCACAGCCGTTTTCCGGTAAGTGAGTAGAGTAGGCTGTCAATGAATGAAGAGTGGCCTGGATGCTATGGTTTCTCCCTTTTGGTGAATCGGATCGGTCAGTGTTAGCAAGGATTTGATCACCAAGGAGCACTTTCAGTACATCCAGAAGCTCACCACACACAAGGGCCCCTACGGGGTAAATGGGACGGACGATGAGGGTGCACCACTCCCAGAGAGAGTGAACTTGAAGTAACAGACACACACCGTTCGTCCCTGCGTGTGTCCGACCATGGTACAGGTTGACAGTGTGGCGATAGCCTTTGTGGACGAGTACGAGGGCCGCACCTTGCGCAACTTCGCCAAGCAGATCGAGGAACAAAATGCCAAGATCAAGGAGGCCTGCCAGGTCAGCACCAGGGACGTCAAGGACGTGGCCTGCGGCACAGACCAGAGACCACACACACAGAGCGCACCACCCACACCTGCACCCACACACCGACACACCGCGCTGAGCTGAGAACAGACAGGCCAGGCCAGCAGTGTAGCTAGCTGTCTTTTGTCGTCCACAGTAGGTGAGTGTCGTGGACGGACTGGTGAGTGAGTACGTGTCTCATTGGTTGATACTTGCTTGCGTGGCTGCGCGGTGTTTGACAGGACTTTGATTCGCTCAAGAAGTATCTGGATGAGAATCTGAATGAGCTGAAAGACTTTGTGGCCGAGGTGGCCAAGAAACTCCCCACACCCTACAAGTTCACCGTGCAGGAAAAATACCTCATCCAGAAGGTCAGCCAGCCAGCCAGCCAGCCACTCAGCTGTCTGCCCTTGTGTGTCTGCATCGCATCCATCTGCAGGTGATCAAGCTTCACTTCCAGTGTCCCTACAAGGAGCTGACGATGGATCTCGTGGGCGGAGACGAGAGTGAATTCGAATATGAAATCGAGAGCAAGGAGTGGTCCAAGGTGAGTGGGTCAACGAATCAGCGAGGGGCGATGAGAGGGTGGTCATCTGTTCACCTATGCATCTCATCTATGTGTGTGCGAAGTGGCTCAAAATGGGGCTCTCAGCCGCCAAGCTGGGCAAGACCCTCATGAGCTTCGAGGGCCTCGCGGACGTGGGGGACGTCCTCGACCAGACCAAGAAGATTTTCAAGGCATACACGGTCAGTCGACAACAGACAGACAGCCCGGCGCTGCCGTCGGCGTGCGGTGCGTGGGCACGTTTGTGTCTCTCTCCGCACATCGGTGTATGTGTGGGTTTAGCAACAAGACGACGAGGCCTTCATGGCCTATGCCAATGAGCCCTTTCTCACCTCCCAGGAGCAGGACTTCCTCAGTACGTCCAGTCCACCCCACACACACCCATCCCATCCCCCACCCCACACAGTAAGTTATGTTTTCCATCCCTCTCTCTCTCTCCTTGTCCCTTTAGTCAACGGGCTGAGGGAGAACAACTTCTTCAAGAAGTTCAAGTATGACTCGAGGACGGCCAACTGGGTGGCGCTCAAGAGCTATGCACTCCTGTCGGAGGCAGACAGGCTCAAATGCGGCAGAGACAAAGACTCTCTGAAACGTACACACGCACACAGACAGACACACGCCCTCATGGTGTGATCGATCGACACATCCACACGACAGACACGCTTGTTTGTCGATTGACCCTTTTGCAGAGAACTTGGGCAAGATGAACTTGGCGGCGGAGAACTTGAGGAGCCTCGAAGACAAAGAAGGTCTAACCGTGTCTGTCTCCCCCTAAGAGTGCAATTGTCTGTCTGTGCATCTGTGTGTGCGTGTGTGTGTGCAGTGACGGGTGACGTTGCAGGCCAGGCCGCTGAGGTGCTGGACCAGGCAGGTCGGGTGATGGAGGGCGTAGAGAAGGTCAACAAGTCGTGTGGCTGGCTCTGCGGGCTCTGCTGAACGAAGCGAGACAAGACACGAGCCGCACATTTCATTCTCCCGCAGGTATGGTAGATGGCCAACAGCACAGCGTGTGGTGTACGTGTGGACAGACAATTGACATTATTACCCTAGCTAGGGTGTAGCAGCCGCCGGGCCGGTGGGTTTCGTTTCTCTCCTTTCACTCAGTCAGGAGCTGCGTGCAAATGACGATGCAGCCGGCCCGACCGGTCCTGTCTGTCTATGTTAAAAAAACTTCACCAGCCAGCCACCTTACCCGCATCAGCCAGCCAGCACCCTGCTCGCATCGCATCGCATCGCATTTTATCGCATCCATCGGCCGATCGAACCAAACAGACAGACAGACAGCGCTTCTCTTGTCCTCATCGCACTTGACGTGTCCCATCGGATGCATCAGTCGGTGGTCACATTTGGATGGGAGGGATGCACATGGCTACGTAGCTGGTGGGCCGAAACGCAAAACGCTACACAGAAAGCGATCAAGGGAGGAAGGAAGAACCCCCCTGAAGGAAGAACCCCCCTCTCCCCCCCCCCAACACACACACACACACGCCCACACACCTGAGCTATGCTGCACAGCAAATAAGGTACGTACGTACAAGTGAGCCCAAGTCAACACCCGCACAAGGCGCGGGAGCGACACACACAGAGAGAGAGAGAGAGAGAGGACAGATGACGCCAATGTCAGGGCGAGGGGGATCGGCCAAGGTATCTATCCTGAGAATCCAACAGGCTGCCGTGTTCGATTGTCATGACCACGCATTCACCGGGTGCGATGTAGGGACGAAGAGCATGCACCTGTGAGAGCCAAGATGCCTCCGAGGCATCGTGACACTGGTCGGCATCGACCGCCCCCAACACGAGGTAACCTGGGGTGGGAGGCAGGTTGGTGGATGAGCCCGCGATGATGGCCCACAGGCGGGTCATCAGGGCAGCGGCGTGACACGGCTCGCGATAGCAGATGATGACGTCCATCACGTGCTTGACGTCATCCGTCTCCTCCATGGCAGTAACGTTCCGTATCCATGCGTTAGAACATCCGCCATCCTCATCATCATACTCGATGGACGTGAGGCGACTCCCAGGCAGTTCCTCATCACCCGACGTGTGCCGCCCGTAGATGGCACCATGTGCAGAGGAAGAAGCACCACCACGGTCGGGCAGGGCCGCTGTCTCCGCGGCTGTGGCGGGGAGGAGAGCTGCAGCAGGCTGGTCCAGCACCCCACCTGCGGCGCGAGGACGGTCCAGGCCGTCCACCACGTAAGGGCCGCCGTCGACATACACGTCGCCCTCGCCGCCCAAGGCGTCCACGAGCGCCCTCCGCACGGCCTCCCTTGTTGCTCTGCTGCTGACGCCACAGATACGAACTGCATCGCACAATGCCGCCGCATCATCGTCCTGCGCGTCTCGCGGTAATCCAGACGACCGTGAGAAGAAGCGGTCGCCCGGCAGCTGGTGCGGCATCCACTCGGGAGCGTGCTGCAATATCTCTGGACCCACAGACAGTGAGCTGGCAGACGCAGACGCCGAGCTGGCAGCAGGTGACGACCCGTCACACTCACCGCATACCGCAGAATACTGCTCACGCTCTTTGGCAGGTGCGGGGTCGAATGGCGGCGGGTCGGTCGGCAGGAAGCCGTCAGGCTTGCCCTCGAGGCCCTGCTGACATAGCACCGTCGAACCACCTGCGGAGGGGCTGGGAGACACTTTTCCACTCAGCAGCTGGCTGCAAAGCTGGTGATAGGTCCCAGGAGCGAACCCATAGCCATCACCAGACACACCGCCAGCGGCCTCGGTGTGCCACACTCGGCTGTCTGGTCGCCGAGATGACTCCAGGTGCACCTCGATGGGCAGAAGCGCATGTTCCCCGTCCCCGTCCGCACCAGCGGTGGTTGTTCGGTTGATCAGGTCGGGATGGCATTCCACGAGGGCTGCTCGAGGGATGGCAATCGACAGGGCGGCGGTGCGAGCAACACGGTGAAGCCCCGGCTCCCCCTCCTCACTGGGCCGTCGATGAGTCGTCGCCGCCAGCTTCTGCCGCTTCGGATTGGGTGCCTCCATGTCAATGGTCCATGTCCCCAGGTTCGCCACGGTCAGACTGAGGCCTTCAGTGGTCTCTGATGCTCGCCTGCCCTCCTCGCAAACCAACCTCCCGACCTTCAGCGGGCTCTGGTCGCTTGCAGAGCTCTGTCGCCTCGAGCCGGGCAGAGGGACGGAAGCACGCACGAGCTTGCTCTCGTCCAGAGACCGCCGCGCACGCCTCACCATCGGTGGGGCCGCAGG